ATTTCTGCCCTATTATAAAAAAAATCCAGGGATAGATCCAGATAGAATTTTAAATTTATTTTAGAAGAATTCTGGAAAGATCTCTGTGAAAGGAAATTAATCTAAAGGAAAGGTTTGAGAACAATCAAATAAAAGCCTGTAAAGTTTTGAGCGAAATTTTTATACACAAATTGTGAAGACTTTCAACCTGTCGCCGATCCAAATTCAACATCCAGCAAAGGTGCTGCTGTCTTAGAAATTACCCATTTAACCTTCGGCTTAATAGCATTCAGTTTTGTGCTTAATTAAAATACCTAAACCGCGATAATTTCCAAAATTCCGGGAGATAAACGGGGGACAATTGCTAATCGTGATTTGCTGGTCACCATGAAGATGAAGGAGATTTGGATAAATTTATGCCCCTAGGATAGAATGCGAATCCTTCCTGTTTTTGGCAACACGAGATTTCTGTTTTTTTTTTTGCATTCTATAAAATGTATGGAACGCTTTATTTAGGTAATTTGAAATTGTACTGGACCACTCTTCATAAGGTAGAGGTCCGTGTGGTATTGCATGAAAAAATATCCATAAAGCACTAATATATTCTAAGGAAAGTTATAGCAGATGGGTTTGTGTTGCCAAACCGGGTAGGCACTGCACCTGGATTTTTTTTTTAATTACTGGAAAATCAGGGAATTTCGTTTTCTTCGTTGAGTCGACACCCTGAAAAAGCCAAACCCGGAAGCTGTTGAAAGTCTTCGAGCACGTATGTTTCGTCGTCCATTATGATACAAGAAATGTTTTGCAAAAACTAGGTGTCTTTTAGCAGTGAAATTTTGCTTATTATTACGATTGGGGACCTTTTTCACTTTGTACGCCTTCAGCCCATGCCTCTGCTTCACTTTTTGTACATGTGATTTTGATTTTCCAACTTTGCGAGCCACATTACGAACTGAAAGGTTTTGATATTTCTCAATAATGGCTACCACCTTCTGGTCCATTTGTCGAGAGCATACTTTTCGATTTGTTCCGCTTCCAACCTTCCGATCGACAGTCAAACCATTTGCACACATTAAACACAGTACGCTTCGGCAGTTTAAACTTTTTTGGCGAGATCGCGTAACGACAATGTTGGATTTTGCTACCGTTTGCGTACTTCCACTTGATTCGACGTCATTTTACCAAACTGAACAAGGATGTAAACATGTGGTACCACGAAATAAAGTGGAGAGCTTTAGCTGTCATATAAGTGAAACGTTTCAGCGGTTCGTGAAATATTTCAAAAACTAACTGGAAGAAAAGTGTCCTAAATTTATCGTGGACAGGCTTTACTAGCTCAAAATTAAATTAAATTAACTATGTTGGTTATTCCTGGTGGTTAGTAAATAATAATGTTCAATAATTGGATCACCTTTAGACACTTGGTCCTGGATTATTTTCTATGGGTATAACGCCTAAAGGTATGCAACATTTCATATAAAACAGGATCTGCCTATATTTTGCTTCGATTATTGATCGGTTCAATAAAATCAATTGAATAACTGATATTGTAAGTACAATATACCGAAAAGTTATGTTTAATCATCTAACAGAATCACTTAATAATTATTCTTGCTGAAAAAATTCATTCCAAGATGCATTTAGCCATATTTCATGGCCGTGCTACGGAAGCGTCGCATGCCTCATTTGTTTATCTGTGCACTAAACTTTGTTCGTTATAGTTTATAACCACATATTAGTTTTTGTTTTCTTTTTGTTTTCAATGCTCCATGAATTCGAAGGACATATTCTCTATTGCTATATTAATCACTACCTAACGTAACATTTGGCCCATCGCGATAACCGAAGTAGGAGGAATAGCAAAACTTATCTAATTCTCGTTTTTTCACAAGGAAGTCGTAGAGTTATCTTTCGACTGAAGCGTAATGAAGAATATCCGTCAAACACTTCCGAAAACGTTTTTTGATACAACACAGTGTCAAAATCTAGAGAAAATTCATGAAGTCCCCTGGGTAGCAAACTTGAATTATTCAACTCTTTATTCATCGAACAACACTATCAGAATGGACAAGAGAAGCTCATAAGTGTTGACAGGTGCACCGGCGCAACCATCTGAGATATTTGATTGAGAGATCTACAACTGACAAGAGAATGAGAGCAAGCTTTTGCGCTCTCTTTCTCCATTACTCTCTTTGCCTGCAATCAGATATCCAAGTGCACAGCGAGAAATGCACGCTTTAGGCACCCATACATCGCAAATGTTCTTCTAATTTAAACATTCATACCGGTCCGCAAGTATGATACACGTCCAAAGCGTACCAGACTGCTGTTTCCGTGTTGCTCTTGTTTGACGCGTGACTGCTGAAAGCTTCAATTACAACTAGTGGTGCAAACCGCGATGTATTGTGGAAAATTTGTGGTATGTTTCAAGGGGTGATAGAAGGTCTGCTTGACTTACATCAGGCATTTGACCATTCGCAAACTTGCCACCCGCCACCCAAAAAAGCTCGCTTTAGGTGCACATTTTAACGAGTGTTGTCATGGTAGTGATATCGACATGATTAGAAATCAATGCATTAGGGATTAGGCAGACCATCCGAACTGAATTTAATCATTTTTTAAGCAAATCAAGGTCGAAGATTCAATTGAGCCACACTATAAAATAGTGTATTCATAGTCACTTGTGGTCTGGAGTAAAGAAGTATAGCTATAATGCGGCCATAAAATCTATAAAAATCTAAACGCATTTACACCTGTGTCGTGCACAGGTTGCACATGTGGACGCGACGCCACTGGGCGTTGCTTCCACTCACTTGTGTGTATTTCCTCTAACTCCCAATGGCCGGCAGTGTTATTATGGAATAATTGTCTCTACAATGTCCCATTTAAGGTCATTGTAGACAGCTTTAGTCCGGGAGTTAGAAGGTGATTGCTCTATTGCAGATCCAGCAACCCATTTCAGAATGTCTGGAGAGTCACGCGCTTTCCGAGGCTACTTTCACTTATAATAAGCCCCGCATGTATGTATTACCTCTATGAATTGGATATTAGTATTACATACACACACTTCCAGTTTCAAAACGTTCTTTTGAATCCAGGCACGTATTTAGTTTGTTTTTTTTTATTGTAAAAAGTATTTGGACTGGTCTCACCATGTTAATTAATACTTCCTTCGATGAACACAATTTTTCTTGGTCATCTGGGAGGAGGTTTGCATCTAGTGCTTTCCCCAGGAACCTTTCGCGGCTACCAGCTACCACCCGTCCAGTCTTGGGTGTATCCAGCGAGGCATCTTTCAGATTGCTCACAATCCCCGACACCGGCGAGCATGCTTGGCATGCACAGTTGTACACACGAACTGCTCATTTGTTAATAACTTTTCACTCAGTTGTTGAAATTTGTTTTTCTTTAAAGTAATTGATAGATTAGAATAGTAGCTTACTATAGATATGCAAAGAGTAGATAAATCTTAATATTTGAATCAACACCAATGAATTTTTACACTTAAAGTCCGAGATGTGCAGCGAGCATTTCTCACTTCATTTTTACAACGCAAAATCAAATACAGTTTATTACTAAAAGTAAAATATCATTTTTTTACGTATCTATAAGAAGCTTAAACTCTATTCTATCGACTGCTTCAAACAGAACTATGTTTCGTCAACTCTGTGCAAAGTTATTAGCAAATGAGCAGTTCGTAACCAAAACTGTGTATGCCAAGTATGCCGGCGAGAGACCAGCAGCCGAGCACTTGTGCAAGCGGCAAACTTGCTGAGATTTTGGAGGTTAGACTCAAAGGCAACCGAGTCACTCGAAGCAAAAACAGTCAAAACACGATATATCACTAAATGATAACTTTATGAACACTTGAAACTAAATTTCAGCACACAAATTAACAAATTCAAAGCGAACAATGTTTAATTCGCTGACGAAAAACGCATAGCAAAAGAAAAACACGTCAGCTTTTAAGCGCGGCCTACTGTGATCTCTTGGATCTGAAGAATTTTTCTGACTCAAAATCTTTTATTTATTTTTTTGACCGAATTCTTGAACAATTTATAGGTGCAGAATCTTGATTTTTTTTTCTAGATCTAATATTTTATTATTTTTCATGTTTATGTCCGAGTTTCAGACTTTGGAATATTTCCCTTAATTTGGGAAACCAGAATCTTGAAAATTTTGCCAAATCCACTGTATAGCTATTTTATTTTATGATCTTGCAATTTTTCAAAATCTTGGTAATGAAATTCTTACTTAGAACCTTAAAAAAATCTCAGTGCAGGATCGTATGACTTTTGCTAAAACCCAAATTTCATATTTTTATATCTGGTATCTTAAAAATGATTTATGTCATGTACCCATATTAACATCATATCAGGTGCCATGACAATTGGGATCATATATTTTTTCCGGGCTCTCTTTCTTAACCCTTGATTTAAAATCCTAGTTTGGAGAATCTTTATGCTTTTTTCTAAGTCCAAAATCTCGAAAAACTAAAAATAAAATTGAAAATTATTTAGAGCATGGAATTTTGAACTTGTTCCCGAGTCTTAAAAATGTATCCAACCCCTTTAATTTACGAGTAACTTTTGTTTTTGAGCGCAATGAGTGTAAATATTCATACAATGTGCTCCAATCGGCTTTGTGTTGTTGCTTATGAATAACGCATCGGAAGAAACGTATTATTGATTTGTGCACGGTAAAATCACTGATATTATTGATTTTTTCTGCACGATAGATCGGAAATGGGCGATTACGACGAAGTAGCGCTCTACCCTATTTAGTGACCTGAAAAGAATCGCATAAACTACTTGAGACATTCCATTTACATAAAAGTTAAAAATATAGCAGGAAATCCAATTCTAGAAGCCATTCTCAGCATTTTATGAGAAAGGAGTGCCAGAGTAATTCCAAGACGATTCGATGAAAAATTACCAAGAAATTAACATTAACTAAAACAAAATAATCGTTTTAAAATCCTACACCCCCGGATAATCAAACATGTCTTCCAACTTCCACAGGCGATGTCGTACTGAACAACTTGATCCTGAAGCAGAGCGCCCTCAAGGAGCTAGACCTACCGGTGACCACCCTCTACGGCCATCTCGGTAAACTGGTCCTGAAAATCCCGTGGAAGAACCTCTACAGCGCCCCCGTAGAGGCCATAGTGGACAAACTGTACATCCTAGCCGTCCCCAACACTGACGTCCGCTACAATGCCGAAAAAGAGGACAAGAACTCGTTCGAAGCGAAGAAAGCGGAACTGCTCCGCATTGAGCAGGCGAAGAAAAGCGAAGAGGAAAAGGACAAACCAGTGGCCGACAAGACATTTGCCGAAAAGCTGACCGCACAAATTGTGAACAATGTGCAGATTCGGATTTCCGATATCCACATCCGGTACGAAGATACCACCACTACGGGATTTCCGTTTGCATTCGGTGTGACGCTGAGCAATCTAAGCGTTCATACCACCGACAAAAATTGGATGCAAACGCTCGTTTCCGAATCCGTTACCAAAATCTACAAGGTGGCTCAGCTGGAGATGCTGTCGGTGTACATGAACTGCAACACCCAGCTGTTCCAGGAGCAAGATCCGTCCATGTACAAAGGGCTGTTCCAGGAGACCATCGCTAGTAAGTGCCACCAGCCAGAAGGGTATCACTACATATTTGGTCCCATCAGTTCCGGAGCACGGTTGGAGATGGTTCCGAATCCGGAATCGGAACAGTGCCCATTTTCATCGCCAAAGATCAAGCTGAATCTGTGTATGGAAACGCTGGCGATCGGCATCACTAGGGTACAGTACCAGAAAACAATGCAGCTGGTGGAGGCGTTCGGACGGATGATGCGTGCCATGCCATACCGGAAGTATCGTCCGCATGGGATTTCCTACAAGAACAACTACAAGCAATGGTGGAAGTTTGCGTACAATTCTATCCTGGAGGTAGAGGTACGACGGCGTCGCAGGAACTGGTCCTGGGACAATATGAAGCGGCACCGGGAGTATTTGAATTCCTATGAGGAAGCGTACAAGGTACAGGTGACGGCTAAGAAGCTAACTCCGGAGATAACGGCTCGGTCTGAGGAGTTGGAGAGGCTGCTGGATTTGCACAATATCATCGTAATCAGGCAAAAGGTGGAACTGGAAGTGCAAAAGGAAGGGAAAAGGCAGGAAGCGGAACAAAAGACCGGTTGGTTTAGTTCTTGGTGGAGTGGAGGGGCCAAGAAGGCAGAGGATGCAAATAACACTACGGATATAAGTGAGTTTTCGGGACACATTGGTGTTTTGGAACTGGAAATGATATCAATTTCAAATTTTCAGAGAAACAATTCGAGGCTGCTATGACGGCGGATGAGAAGGCCAAGCTATTCAAAGCGATCGGATACCATGAGAGCGATTCTCCGACGGAGCTTCCAGAGTATTACATTGCTCAAATTTTACAGTTTGAACTGAATTCCTTGGAGGTGTCGATCAAATCGGAAGTTTCGGTTGATTCACAGGAGAGACTTGGCAGTCCGAATCGATTGCTGGAAAGGGTTATGCTACTGGAATTGAAGAATGTAAAATGCGGCGTCCAACAGAGGCCTTCCGCTGGTGCCATGAAGTAAGTGTATTTTTTAAACAAACTGACTAGAATGTGTATCTAATTGATCTGTGTATCTTTCAGGGCTTCACTTCAGATGGAAGAACTGACCATCTCCGGCTTGAGACAAGGCGATGTGCTCCCAACCATGGTCCAATCTCAACTGGAAGGATCGGACACGCTGTTGGATGTATCGTTTGAAACCAACCCGGAGGATAAGTTGTGTGACCAAAGAGTCGTGGTGACATCACGACCACTGCAGATAATCTACGACGCAGAGACCATAATCCAGCTGGCGAAGGTGTTCACGACACCGAGGACGGCAACCATTTCACAGTTAGTATTTTTTATTGACTCATTCGAACATGTTTAAAAACGGTACCAAATTGCAGACTCACGGATGCCGCGGCGGAAAAACTAGTCAACATAAAGGAACGGTCGGCTACCGGTTTGCAGTATGCCATTGCCAATCATCCTCGGTTGGAGCTGAATATCGACATCAGTCCCAGCTATATCATTGTCCCCAACGGAGGTTTATTCTGCAGCAGAGAATCGGTGCTGGTGCTAAGCTTGGGAAAACTTTTGGTCCACACCGAACCACGACCGATAAATCAAAAAGACGTTCATACGATGCACGAGGAAGGTGCCAATCAGGAGGAAATCCTACGGGAAATCATCCGCCAAAGCTACGACAAATTCGTTCTGGAAATCCGCGACGTTCAGGCAATCGTCGCCACCTTGGACGAAGACTGGCAGGGTACACTTCGGTGCAGTGCAGTGACCGAGATGCACCTCTTGGAACCCACTTCGTTCCGCATTTCTGCTCATCTGTGCGTGCTTGACGACGACCCGCGGTTGCCGAAATGTAAAATCTTTGGCGAACTTCCGTCCGTTAACATTTGCGTCACCGAACAGCGAGTGCTTGAAGCACTTTCGATTGTCACGAGTCTTCCGCTGCCGGAAAGCGACGAAATTCAGCCGGCCCCGATAGCCAAGGACAACAATGTATTCAGCTCTAGTTTGTCGTTGTTGAAATACTTGGACGACAAGCAACAGAAGCTGACCAAGATCCAACGCCCGGTGGACAACCTGAACACCTCCGATGCGTTGGATGGAGAAGTGGTGCAATTCATCGATTTGGAAGTGAGATTTGTTCTGAACGGTATGTTGTTTCGGTAATAATCAAGTTTAAAGCGGGTAACAATTTGTTCGACCAACCATTGCAGAATGTTCGTTGACCATTTTCAAAATCAGTGGTACAGGAAGCACCTCTTCGGACGTTTTTACCACTCCGACGGAGGAATTCTCCCAGTCACCCCTGGAGCAGAGCCTGATGCAACGGAAGAGTGTTACATTTAATGTTCCATTTGCGCATGCCAACTCCCGGAAAATTGTGGCTTTCAAGGTGAAACAGCTGGAGATGAACATGGTCCAGCGGACTTACGATTTGAAGGTGGATTTGAAGCTCGGTGCCGTCACCTTGGACCAGTTCCGCGTTCGAAACGAGCAGGAGAAAGTACTGAACGTGATTCAGACTCCCAAGTACGAAGATGATGATGATGATTATCTCTTCACGTTAAACTACACGAACGTGAGTATAGATGTTCTTGCGAAGTAACTGGGTTCGTTAATCTATGCATGTGAATTATTCCACAGTGTAAGAAAAATAGTCCTGAGTTTGCAACCAAGTACGAATCAGTCGAGCAGGAAGTCGGCATCAACTTCTCCACTCTGGTTCTGTTGCTTCACGAGGAAGCATTGAACGAAATCATTAGGGTAGGGTGGTCAATATTGTAAGCCGTTCGCGGGATATAAATCCTCATGTCAATTGTGTTTCGTTCCCAGCTCGCAAACGATTTCCAAATGCGCATGGATGCGGTTATGAATAGTAAGAAAGAACAGGACCGGCAGCAATTTCCCCAGCGGGATCGAATTGCGACGATCTATGAAGAGGAGAGTACGGCTTCGGTGCTGCTGCATGCGGCTAGGGAGAAGCTTCCCACGATTATGGAGGACGATACGGTGACCGTTGGACAGCCGACGAAAGGTGAGTCGTCGCCGCATTGGTTGGTTTTGATTACCCACTTAGTCGTAGTGTTGGACGAGTGGATTTCATTAACGTGGTTTTAGTAGGAATCATTAGATGGTACTTAGCTGTAGTGGATTATCGTTATATGATTTCCATATTTTCCATATATGATTTAACATGTTGGAACCCATCCTAGTCAAGAGCGTTTGTGGAATAACGGGCTTCATTAATCTATATCTCTGAAGTGACTTACGCATTTCACTAGCGCGCGCTCCTACTAGTCCACTTCTCTTCATATTGTTGTCGAAAATAAAACTGCCCAAGTAACCAACAAGCCAGCTAATTCGCCTTTTTGCAATATAAGGCTGATACACGGCTAACATAGGGCATGCTAAGGTTTATATTAGCCGCATATTAGCGTTCTATTGCAAAAAGACGAACTAGCTGGCTTGTTGGTTACTTGGACAATAACTGTTTAGGTTGTGTAACGTGTGATATTATAGACTAAATAGCAAAATAAGTGAAACATTCTTTTTTTTTTTATTGGTCATTTCGCATAATTGTTTTTTGATCCTGGCATAGTCTGTACCCTAATTCGGTGTTTTTTTTTAAATTATATTTGTGTTCTTAATCCTCTTAAGATGTTGAGAATTCATTAAGTTCGTAGTTTTCGTATGCTATGGGAACGTTGAATAAAATCAATACCCTTTATTGAACACAATTTCAAATCTTTAAGGTTAAAAATTCCTTAAACTATAGCCTTAAAATTCAGGATCTAGGGGTAACAATTCTTCTGAATTTTTACAGAAGGGTTTTTTTTTATTATGGGAGAGCTTATCTGCCGTTATACGCATAAGAGTCCCACGGTGCATAAGCATTGCATAGAAAATGGGACAGTTATGCGTATAACGACAGTTATGCTTATGACTGAAAAAAAAATAAAAACATTGTAGTGTGCACTGCCAACACTGGACAACAGCGCGCACCTGGATACACCCCTGCATCAAAAGCGACCATGTTGATTTTAGTTAGTAAGTTTGGGACAAGGGAGAAATAAACACGTTGTAAAGTCACAAACGTTTTCGATTTATTCTATCGCGGGATTTTCCTTCCGGTCCCCACATTGGTGACCCCGACGTCATATCGCGACGCGGAAAACAATGAAGACCGAAAGCCAATCGCTATCGTCGCAGATTCGAAAATGACGGAGGAAAACGCTGCTGTTACCGCTGGAGTTGCAGTCAGATTTCTGGACGAATAATCCCGTGATGTGGTTCGTGCAGGCCGAAGCACAGTTTGCTCTGGCTAACGTGGTACGGGATCACACCAAGTTCTATCATATCGTAGCGAAAATTGACCAGTCTGTCATATGCCATGTAGCGGACTTGGTCACGACCCCGCCGGAGGAAAACAAATACGAAACCATCAAGCAGCGTTTGATTTCCCGATGTCAGCGTGTCAGCGCAAGGAAGATTGGAGCGACTTTTGGGCGCTTGGGACCTCGGAGACATGCGTCCTACACATCTTCTGTCGAAAATGCAGTAACTTGCTGCGGGTCTGAATGTTACGGATGATTTGCTGAAAATGCTGTTCCTTGAGTCTCCATCGTCACACGTCGCTGCAGCCTCCACCAGCTCCTCCGGAACAGATGCCAAATTGCGGCATTGACAGCAGAAATACGTAACCTCAAATCGTCGAGAGGTACTTCCAGAAGTCGATCCACATCGAGATCAAGTCAAGTGACAGACGACGAAATATGCTGGTTCCACCGGGGCGTGCTTTGAAATGCCGTGAGCCCTGTAAGTACAATCCGAAAAACTAGAATACTTTTTTACATGCAGCGCTCCACGCTCGTTTTACATGCAGCGAATGGATCAAGAATTAAAGCGTACGATAAGCCATACGTCACAACAGATTTAGGACTACGTCGGTGCTTCATTTGGCCTTTCGTCGTGGCAGATGTGGGAGTTGCTATTATCGGTGCTGACTTTCTCGCAACGTTCGGCATATTGGTAGACCTGAAACACCGGCGCCTTATGGATGGTCTAACTAAGCTTTCGTCGACTGGAGGTTTGACTGATGCATCCGTTCACAGCGTTACAGTAGTTGCTGCAGATCATCCGTTCCGAGAACTTTTGTCAGAATTTAAGGAAGTCACCATACCGACAATGATAAAAACAGCAGTGCAACACGACGTTACTCATCACATACAGACGAAAGGGCCACCGGTAGCAAACAATTCTAGATAAACATTTCAAAAGGTCCTATCTGCATTGAACGATTCTCTTCATCGACTTTCTCTTCCATTATAACTCAACTTCAAAAGCATTCCCTGCTGTGTTCAACGTTCAAGATAGGAACTTCTGCTATCAAACTGTGTGGGAAATATAGCACCAAATGCATTTGCATAGGCGTGGTTATCAAAAGAGAAAGTCGATGAAGAGAATCGATCAAAGCAGATAGAACCATTTGAAATGTTCATCGAGAAGTGTCTTCGAATGGCTCCGGACAAGGTGAGTGCTGCCAAGAAAGAGTTTCAGGTTATGATCGATCTCGGCATTTATCGTCCCTCCAGCAGTTGTTGGTCGAGCCCACTTCACTGCGTTCCGAAAAAGACCTGTGAATTGAGGTTTGTGGGAGATTATCGAGCGCTAAATAAAGTGACTGTGCCAGATCGATACCCCGTACCTCATATTCACGACTTGCTTAACGCCTTCCAGGGAAAAAAACATTAACAGCCCTGGATTTGGAAAGAACATATCATCAAATTCCTGTGGAGGAGGACGATACACCCAAGACTGCAGTAATAACCCCGTTCGGCCTCTATGAGTTTACTCGAATGCAGTTTGGGCTATGCAATGCTAGCCAAACATTCCAGAGGTTCATGCACAGGGTTTTCAGCGATATGGATTTTATGGTGGTCTTTGTGGACGACATTTGTATCACGTCACACACACCCGAAGAGCATTATCATCATGTGCAAGTCGTATTTCAACGATTAAAATCCTACAGTCTTGTTATAAACGTGGCCAAAAGCTGTTTCGCGGAGAGTAGTGCCAACTTTCTTGGATACGTGGTGAACAAGGATGTAATCCTCCCCTTGCCGGATAGAGTCAAGGCAGTTACAGACTTTCCAATTCCTTCCACCGTGAAATAATTGAGACGATTCCTTGCATTACTGAACTGTCACAAGAGGTTTATCGCGCACGCGTCTGATCTGCAGGCTGATCTCCGAAACCTAATTCGTGGAAATAAAAAGAACGATTGTCGGAAAATAGCTTGGACCGAGAATGCCAGAAAAGCGTGTTCGATCAATGCAAAATTTCTCTAGCGAAAACCGCACTTTTGCATTACCCCGATTCCTCGAAACCGTTGAGTTTACTTATCTATACATCAAATACTGTAGCAGGCGCTGTGCTACAGCAGTTCAACGGCAGCAACTGGGTTCCACTTTGCTTCTATTCGGAAAAGTTCTCGCCGGCTCAGGTGAAATATTCAACGTTTGACCGAGAGCTGACAGGAATGAAGATGTCGGTGCAATACTTTCGTCATATGCTGGAAGGAAGGAGATTCGTTATTTAAATTGATCACATTCCGTTAACACACGCTTTGGCTTCAAGTCCAAGCAGTCGTCTTCCACACGAGGAGCGGTACTTGCGGTTCACCTCGGAACGCCTTATCCAGAACAGAAACGATTTCTCTTCCCACACCGATTGACTACGACGAAATTGCTGCTGATCAAGTCGCTGACAACGAGTTGCAAGGCCTGCTGGATTCGTCTTCTGCGTTGAAACTGGAATGGCGTCAGACAGCTTTAGCATCAAGACCCCTGTATTGTGATGTTACTCCGTTCGGCCTCTATGAGTTTACTCGAATGCAGTTTGGGCTATGCAATGCTAGCCAAACATTCCAGAGGTTCATGCACAGGGTTTTCAGCGATATGGATTTTATGGTGGTCTTTGTGGACGACATTTGTATCACGTCACACACACCCGAAGAGCATTATCATCATGTGCAAGTCGTATTTCAACGATTAAAATCCTACAGTCTTGTTATAAACGTGGTCAAAAGCTGTTTCGCGGAGAGTAGTGCCAACTTTCTTGGATACGTGGTGAACAAGGATGGAATCCTCCCCTTGCCGGATAGAGTCAAGGCAGTTACAGACTTTCCAATTCCTTCCACCGTGAAAGAATTGAGACGATTCCTTGCATTACTGAACTGTCACAAGAGGTTTGTCGCGCACGCGTCTGATCTGCAGGCTGATCTCCGAAACCTAATTCGTTTAAATAAAAAGAACGATTGTCGGAAAATAGCTTGGACCGATAATGCCAGAAAAGCGTGTTCGATCAATGCAAAATTTCGCACTTTTGCATTACCCCGATTCCTCGAAACCGTTGAGTTTACTTATCTATGCATCAAATACTGCAGCAGGCGCTGTGCTACAGCAGTTCAACGGCAGCAACTGGGTTCCACTGGGCTTCTATTCGGAAAAGTTCTCGCCGGCTCAGGTGAAATATTCAACGTTTGGCCGAGAGCTCACAGCGATGAAGATGCAATACTTTCGTCATAATATGCTGGAAGGAAGGAGATTCGTTATTTACACCGATCACATGCCGTTAACACACGCTTTGGCTTCAAGTCCAAGCAGTCGTCTTCCACACGAGGAGCGGTACTTGCGGTTCATCTCGGAATTTTCGAACGATATTCGTCTTATCAGCGGACAGTTCAACGATTTCTCTTCCCACACCGATTGACGACGACAAAATTGCTACTGATCAAGTCGCTGACAACGAGTTGCAAGGCTGCTGGATTCGTCTTCTGCGTTGAAACTGGAATTGCGTCAGACAGCTTTAGCATCAAGACCCCTGTATTGTGATGTGTCACAAAACAAAGTAAGACCCAAGGGGTAGTCACTTTACACACTTGTTTTGCACCAGCTTTTTTCTCAGTGTACCTCAGTGTGCCGCAGTTGTACCGGCAGTGTCAAGAAGTCATTGAACTGACTTTTGATTGCTTGT